CCCCCTCCCCACAGCTTGCTTCCATCTTTGGAAGGAGCTCCTTCTAACTTCGAAGGAGCTCAGGTTCAGACTGGGTTAAACCTGAGCTAATCCCTAGGTAGGACTACATATATTATGGAGAAGAGTAAAGGGTGTTCAGTAGTCCTAACCCACTTCCTGTCATAGTGTGAAAACACTGCTTCTCCATAGGTAGAGTATAGTGAGAAAGAAACAAATTCCGTCACTACATTTAAGGACCAGTAAGCTGCAATATATTACTTTTTTGGTATTGTGTTTAGATTTAACTAAATGTTTGCTCTGTGATAATGCACTTTAAAAATAAGCCCACTATTTGTAGCTATGTTTGCTGTAAAGATATTATTTGCATAAACTACTCTGCTTATTTATGAAGGGAATGCAAAGTACATTGGCTATGTGCCACAGGCAGTAACCTATGTCATCTAATTAGATGTACTGTTTTTCCTTCACTTGAATATAATAAACTTATATCTGGCTAGTTACTATGGCCTCCTGCACTGTGCATATAGATAATGTTCTTTGCAATGCCTTATTAAATAAGCCCAGTTATATGTGTCACTAACTTCTTCCTTCATATTGTATAGTACGCACTTCTGCAAAGTACTGAGGCATATCCAATAAACGAGATCTGCTGATGCTGCCATTTTCAAATATTAAGAAAACCAGACCACCTTACTGACATTTTAAAACAATGTCCTAAAACTACATTGGGAAAAGTTGCCTATTATTCTTCTTGTATTGTTAGGACATAATAAAGCCAGGAACTGTGTAGTTTATATTTGGTCGCTGACATCTGATGCAATATAAACCTACATTTTGTTAGTGTCCTGATGTTATGTTATATTTTAATTGCAGGCATTGGACTTTGAGAAAACAAGGATGTACACTCTAAAAGTAGAGGCTGTTAATACATATGAAGACTCCAGGTTTCACTACATTGGACCCTTCAAAGACGGGGCTACTGTCAGAATTTTGGTGGAGGATGTGGATGAACCGCCAGTGTTCACCAAATCAGCCTATGTGCTTGAAGTGATGGAAGACGCCCATATTAACAGTATTATAGGAACAGTCAAAGCCCAAGATCCAGATGCTTCCAGAAGCCCTGTGAAGTAAGCATTAGAAAAATGCACATCTATTTCCTTGTAATGATCAAAGCTGCCAAATGTTATATTAATAAAAGCCTTGTAGATGATGAGACTGGAGTTATCAAAGGATGTTGTAGTTTAACTTTTTAGCTTGATGTGTCATTCATGCAAATAGATTTTATGGAGAGTATTTTTACATTGTTTCATCAGCTCATACCCATGTGAGCAGCCAAATTCGTAATAGTGTAAGCCTTTTTAAAGTGACACTTAACTTAGCAGGTAAATCTTAAAAATGCAATCAAGTAATCAAGTACCCTATCTATTAACAATACTGTACCTTCTTTGTGTATCACTCAGCTTCGGATCCTCAAATCTTCTTTGAATTCATGCTGACACACATTCCTTCTGGCTATTTTTGTTCCCCATGGTCCCTGTATGGGTTGTAAAGGAGCCACCATTTCAAGCTCACTACCGGGATGGACTGCAATCTCATGTTTTGTTAAATAATTTGTATTGAGATTGTAGTCCATCATGGCAGTGAACTTGGAATGGTGACTATTATACAACACACACAGGGACTATGGGGAACAAAAGTAGCCACCCTTCAGAAGGAAGGACAGTGTCAGCACCAATTCAGAGATGATTTGAGGATCTACAGCCGAGTGATACACAAGTAAGATACATTTATTGTTAATATAGTTAAGGTACTTGAATGCATTTTAAGATTTAACTCCTGAGTTTAGGGTCAGGTTAACATGGATCCTCCTGCACATGTGATGGAAACGTGAATAATAAAAGATGATTTGACTAAAAGCACCCTGAGTTCAAATGCCTGTTTTAATAATGCCTGGTATAGGGTGTCCTACATTCACTTTGTGATAAAGCTATGAGACAAAAGAGTGTTGAATTCCTTCCTCTTTCTTATTTTCCATTTGTCCAGATCAAAATGCACACAATGCTGTCATTGTGTTCTATAAAAATAACACTGACGTCAGCCACTATTCACGAAGCAGCCAAAGCTTCAGCTGATCCTTCGGCTGGCTTCAGCCCCAGGGCCCCTTCGGTTCAGTAGAACCGAAGGGCTGCTGCACTGGCTATTCACTATAGCCCGTACAGCTCCCGAAGTCGGCATATGCTTCGGCTCGACTGAGCCGAGGTGAAAGCCGAAGCTGGCTGACAGCTAGGCAAAGCCAGCCGTGATCTCGCGGCTGGCTCCGGCCACTTCCAGGGAGATCAGCGTCCCTGGTTACCAGCTAACCAGCGACACTGATCTCCAGACAGCCCAACTCTCCCACTGCCGGCCACATAGGAGAGAAACACTGCTTTTTTTTTTCTTTGGCCAGCCGACAGCCTGCTTCTGACAGCTAGGCAAAGCTTGCGGCTGGCTCCGGCCACTTCCAGGGAGATCAGCGTCCCTGGTTACCAGATAACACATTGGTTGTACCACCCGCCATTGGAGCCTGAATTCTATTCTAGGTTGTGTTTTTATGAACAGGTGACGTCACAAAGACTTATTCATTGACACGCTGTAAAGATTTGCACTGATAAAGTGATTTCTCGGCAGGCTATTAGATTTGTTATAAACTACTAAAAGAAGAATTGTTTTGTCCATCACTTTGTATACTTTTTACCTTTTGTAAATAGTCCCTCTTGGTTGCAATATCATTATAAATGAATCATTATTTTAATTACTAAAGGCTAAGAGAGCAATATTTTGATCCAAGAAAATGAGGCAACAAACTTTGGTGGTCAGAAAATATTTGATTTTGTCCTGTGTGTCAAAATTAGGAACATTTGCTTGGGGGGAGGTTGTGCCTTCTGCTGAGCTGCAGGAGTTGTGACAGGCTGACCTTTTTTTTTTCAATCCTTTTATGAATTTTTTAATGGTTGTTTTATACTTGTTTTCTCATTATCTATATACAATATTTTAATACAAACGGCTCCCAGGGTACTTTTTGTTATCTCAAGAGACAGCACAGAGGAGCAACTTGCTTTGCAGCGCCCTTTGACTTCTACAAACCTCAGCTGTATGATAAGGGATGAGTCACTAGTCTGATGACTCATTGAAGTTGATTTACTAAGGGCAAATAAGCTGTTCACTTTGCAAGGGAATTTTTACTTTGACAATGACATTTCCCTTAGCATAGTGAATGTGGTAAAGCTTTGCTGATTCCCATCATACAATCATGTGCAAGCAAAAATACAGTTTTATTTTCCTTGCATGTAATTGGGTATTCTTAGCAAAACAAATTTTCACCAAATTCACTAAGCTAAGGGAAAATTATCTTGCAAAATGAAAATTTCTTTGGAAAGTGAACAGCTTTCAGTAAATCAACTCCATTGTGTAGATCAGTGGTTCTCAACCTGTGTAACCTCAGGACCCACATTTGTCCTTGGTCATGAAGTCGCGACCCAACTGGTGTAGATACAGGAGCAAAATTACAAATATGACTTCTGAACTACACTTAGAGAATTTGTGGCTCTTTTGCTTTTTATGTGCTTTTTGGATGCTTTTTGATTGAAGCACAATTGCATGGGACTCAACAGTCCCTAGTAATCTGCCACCCGCAGTTTCCACTCTTTACTGGTTTCAATTGCCCAAATGATTAAACTTGGGGTGGAAATTGATTAAACAATGCCCTTTAGCTGGTATTGTAATGCTTTAGACCAAATTTTATAGTTTTGATCACTTAGTTGTGAAAAATACAGTGGGTAACAAATGGCTTTGATTAAAGGCTGATTGAACATTTCCAGAGTTGATTGGCTTAGTGTGATCAGGACTTGAACTGTCATCTTCTCAACTATTTTATTTTGATATTTGTATGTACAATTGTACTAACAGCTGTGATTAGTCTCATATCTTTCTAGTCTTTTGACCATAGGAAATACGGTATTTCGTTCTGGATAGAATAGGAAAGGGTTAAAGCCTCTGTCAGTTTTTTTTTTGCTGCTTCCCAGTCAGACATAATTTAAAAAAATTGACAGAGATAGTAACAAAGACATTTGACTGACAGAAATTGTAACTCTTTCCCACTCTATCCATACTAAAGGAAACAACATTTGACTGCAGTTAGGCTTGTGATAATCATTGAAAATCCTCAATCCAAGCAAAGTCATCTGCAAACGCACTAATGTGCATATACCCATAATAACAAAAAGTAATTGCAGTTTGTTGAATATATACTTTATATGTAAGAATTTCTGAAATGAGCCCTGATCGCCAGTGGTACTGAATATCAAAAGAAACTTAAAAAGGTATTCCTGTATATAATGAATAGAGCTCTTTCTTTTACATCAGCCCACACAAGACTTTCTTTTCAAAGGGGAATATTTTCTCATCTGATTGCCATTTAATGATATCGTTTTAAAGGTAGCTTGTTACGGGTGCATTTAGTTATGGTTCATATAGAAGGCTTGCCTTTCCAAGCAGGTACAGGTACATTTAGCTGAGGTTCATATAGAAGGCATACTTCATCTCATTTTGAATGAAGTTACTGTAGCCTGCAGCAGAATCCCAGTCATTCACTTGCTTTATAGACAGAAATGTCACATTTGCAACTTTCCTGGATGGTCAATTGAAAGCGTAAAAAGAGAACCACTGATGTGCTTTATTCCAACAGGTTAACCTGGCGTTGCCATCCTTCACTGTAGTAAGACATTTTACGAGATGTGTGACCTATCACATGATTGATGTTACACCGCTTGTACGGCATATAATATGCAGTGGATTTAGTTGTCTTCTGTACAACAGAAGTAATGATACTGTGGAAACTGTTGAATTAATATATTCAAAGGTAGACAAATTGAAGAAGTGCAGAATAGTCAGTCAGTCCAATCTTGCAGCTAGCAGGGAATAATTAGGAGCTGGAGGATATACTTTTCCATTGTCTAGAGTATAAAAGAATCAAAAATCAAGGTGCCAGGTGTAATATATTCTCTTCTGCCATCTAAGGCTTGTGCCACCTGAATATTTGTATATACTGTATCTGTGAAGAAGCAATTTTAGGGCTCTTCATATATCTATAACATACAAGGGTGTTCTGTATTCCACAGGATGAACTGGGCATGGCTGATAACTGTGATCGGGATTTTAGTGCACCATGGGCAGAGGGCACACAATGTTTAAAGCTCACTTTTTTTGGAGGATGAATGTTTTTTTAAGAAGTGAAACATGGAAACATTTTAATGTAAATGTATGTAAAGTGACACTAAACTCATGAGTTAAATATTAAAAATACATGCAATACCTTAACTATTAACAAAAGTGTGCATCTCTCAGCTCTGAATTGGGGTCGACACTGTCCTCCTTCTGGAGTGTGGCTATGTTTGTTCCCCATGTTCTCTGTGTGTGTTGTAAAGTAGCCACTGCTCCAAGCTCACTCCCTTGATGGACTACAATGTCATGATTAGTTTAACTCCTGAGTTTAGTGTCACTTTAATTTATTTTATTTTTTTATTGTGTCTGTGCAAATACTTTAAGTTACATTTAAATGTTAGGCAGCAGTTTGACCTCAGGGTACAGTCCTATGAATGTACATATTATGTGCAAGCATATGCATAGATGCATGTATTTTAAATCTGACAAATAAACTAGACAATCTTATATTTAACTGAACAGTGGGTTTTGGGTTGACATTTTCCAACCCAGTCAATAAACTTTATTTCCAGTGAGTGTACTCATTGGGAGATTTCCTCTATATTTCTTGTTCTGCTGCAAAATTACACATTGCTTTGACCCTTCATGCTGCAGTGATGAAATCAGGATAGTAAGTGACTAAACATTTCCTCAACGGGACAGTAGTAAAAACCCATCAAAGCTTCTGACCCTTGCCCCCATAACCTGAAAGGAGTTGCTTTTCAATAGCTTTAGAATAGAGCTTGTTTACAAAGCAACGTGCCATTTACTACTTTCCACCAGCAGATTTTTTTGTTTTAATATAAAGTCCGGTCTTAAATAATTGATACGGTTTATTTTTCTATAAGCCAATTGTAGAGGAAGGTGAATGAAAATGTGTTTTTCAACA